CCCCCCCCCCCCCGTTTATGGCTCTGGCTTGTGTTCTGACCTCCCCTCTGGGGCAGGATCCTTACTTCTCAGACTACAGGAACACAGGGTCTTACAGAAGCTTTTCCGGGTCACACTCACAGCTGATCTTCACAACCCAAATGAGTGTGCTCACTGCCTTTCATAGAAGGTGAAACTCAGGAGAAAAGACTTCTCCAAAGGTGCCCAGCCTCTTGCCTCCTTGAGGCTCCTGCATCCTCGAGTCTCACCTTTGAGAGTGGGTCTTGAAGTTCAAGGCCAATGGTTTTCATCAAGGTCGTTATAAGCCTAGGAGTCACCCATGTAGTCCTGTCCCTTGCTGGGTCCCTGATGCAGGCCCAGGAGAGAGATACCGATTTCTGTAGGAAAAGCCCGAAGCCTGGGCTCTGCTTCCTTCTACCCTAACTTTCTCTTTGACTGGATGACACAGTTCCCCCCTCTTTCCTGGAACCCCCATCTTGAAGCCCATCTCACAGGTGGCCGTGAAAGCTGAGGGAATATTGGCAGTGAAGTTCTTTTCAGGGCTTGGAGAGGGAAAAGGAGGTCAAGGGGAAACTCCTGAGCTGACTTACCTTGCTCAGGAACCACACGCCCCTTCCCTCCATCCTCTACCTCAGGGGTGACCTCAAGGCTGTTTGTGCCCAGGGAAAGAGGCTCTCCTGGGCCCCAAGGTTGTTCAACAGAGTTCATTTCCAGTCTGGTGTGTTCTGTCTGTCAGGAAGGACACACCTACTGCGGTCTCATGACCTGCCCTGACCCTGGCTGCCCCACCCCACTCCCTCTACCTGACTCCTGCTGTCAGACCCGCAAAGGTGAGTGTCACAGTGAGCTTTGTCAACTTGATACAGCCTACAGCCCTTAGGGAGGAAAGCCCTAACCGAGGGATTGCCTAGAGCACACTGTCTGGTGGGGTATCTATGGGAAACTGTCTTGTTAAATTTATGTAGGAGGGCTAGCCCACTATGGGTGGCACCATCCCCTAGGCAAGTGGTCCCTCCTGGACTAGCTAAGTCAAGCAAGCCAGCAAGCAGTGTTCTCCCACGGTTTCACCTTCCACTTCCCACTTGAGCTCCTGTATTGATTTCCCTCGCTGAAGCACTGTAACTTATAAACTGATATAAGCCCTTTCTTTCCCTAAATTGTTTTTGGTGAGAGTGCTTTATCCCAGCAATTAACTGGAACTGTGACTCTGAAGTCTGCCAGGGTCCCACACCATCCCCTTTGTGGACCTGCAGGAAGAGACAGGGACAGCAAGCATGAAGTAGACACTCCTGTTCTACAGGGAGGTGTTAGCTTGGCATGGATGTCCCAGAAAGCAGGACCCATGCATAACGCTGTGCTGTACCTATTCGGTCACTTCAGTACCAGGAAGCACAGGCAAGGCAAAGTAAAAGTCTGGGGGTGAGAGAAGCAGAGGGAAAAGTTTATTCTCCCATCTTGGCAACTTCCATCAGCCAATGCTCACATCGATGGCCCTCATTAAAGCCTCTCACTTCTGCAGTGTGGGTGATGGGCAGCCCTGGGAGCAGCAGGCAGTGGGGGAGGAGCTTGGCCGGGGACGTGGATTGGAGGCGCTGCTGGGGTAAAGCTGAGGGCAACTGGCTGCTGGGGACAGAAGTGGTACCACTGCAGAGCCTGTTGTGACGAGGTCCTGTCCCCACAAAAAGGCTAAAAGGCACAAGGTAGCAGCCAGGAGCGGGTAAGCTTACGCAAGGCCACAGGATTGGACTCCTGGGGTAAACTGAGCCTGGCATGTCTGCTCCTGAAGAGCAGACTGGGCTTGAGCAGAGGTATATGACTGGACTGTCCATGTGGACTGGGGAACCTTGGACATTGGGGTCTGGGAAGGCATAGTTCTGTGTGGTCGTCCTTAATCCATGTCAGCTGGGAGGTGAGCAGGGAGGCTGGCTGAGCAACTCTAGCAGGCCTCTCTGAAGCAGGAACATTCAAGACAAACCAGATCACAGGTGTAGTGAATGAAGCAAGAGCTTGAGAAAGAGAGTGGTACCAAGCTTCAGGAAGCGACAGGGCTCTCTCTGGGTACCGGTTCCCTGAGAAGAGTGGCCTCAGGGTTCCCCTGAAGGCAGAGGGACTAGACAGTAGAGCTCTGGAAAACCCTGGTTGTAGACATGGAATTCTGGAACCTTGGGACCATTCACAAAGGAGTGACCAGTGTCCCAGAGGGGTGGCTTTTATTTTTTTGTGTTTGTTTTTTTGAGACAGGGTTTCTCTGTAGCTTTGGAGCCTGTCCTGGAACTAGCTCTTGTAGACCAGGCTGGCCTCGAACTCACAGAGATCCACCTGCCTCTGCCTCCCGAGTGATGGGATTAAAGGCATATGCCATCACCCAGCTGAGGGGTGACTTTTAAGTAGACTACATAAGATGCTCTGACATAACTGAGCAGTTGGGTCCCTGGAGTGACTCGGTCAATGTTGGGGAACTAAGGAAGCATCCTGGCTGTGGAGATGTCTGATAACTCAGTAACGACAAAGACAGGCTGCATAGAGATGTTTGGGCCCCTCTAAGGTAACTTGTAGGTTAGGTCTACAGGTGTGGCTTTTAGGAAGACAGAGCTATGGATGGAGGCTTTGGTGCCATGGCCACCAGGGTGACCCCATTTCCTTTGCAGACAGGACAAGTGAGAGTTCAACTGAAGAAGACTTGGCGCAGTTGCAGCCCGGAGAGGTAAGTGTGCACACAGTTGTGCAGACCTGGTGGGGAGAGACGCTGCAGTCCCAGGCCAAAAGCCTGCATGACCCTCAGCACTGGCTACCTGCTCCTGATCCTGTATCCCTCTGCCCACCCTAACTCCAAGGCCTGAGAGCTTCACTCTGGGTCAGCTACATTGGCACCTCCAAGTTCCAGCCTCTCTCCCTATCTGTCATCAGGGTCCCTATGATGGCTGACGGGTCACAAGGGAACAGCTTGCCACACAAAGCAGGGTAAACCCCAGACTCCTTCGTTTGCCTCTGGGGAATCTGGCTGGCACTGTTCTATCCACAGCCTGTGTGTGTGTGATCAACCCAAGCCGCTGAGGAATGGCCTCTGGCTTGGTCCGTGCTTCTGGGCCTCATTTCTAGGATGCGGTGTCTTTGCCAGGGATCTGCCTTTCTGCTCTCACCTCCATCCTGGCTCCTGCCAATCTTGCCTAGAATTCAGATGGCCCAGGCTTCCCAGCTCTCTGAGGTCTGAGATGGGAGAGTGACCACAGCCCGACGCAGGTCCCCTACAGTTCCTTGGTGAAAACTCCTATTCTTTCAGCCTGTGCTCCAGGAGCCTAGGACAGCCCAAGCTGGACTTCTGACCTTTCCTGCCCAGCCAAGGCATCTATGTGCCTTTGCCAGGCTGATTTCTCAGGAGGGCACACAAACCTGAGCCTTTTGATCTGCTCTTTCCCGCTTGTCCCTAGAAGGCAGTGTGTGGGGCCCGCAGGTTAGTGGAGACCCTGAGCTGCTCTTTCCACACTAACTGAGTGACCTGGGCTTGGACCAGTTGGGAGCCGCATTCTTCAAGTCCTTCTTGCCTCCTCTCCACTGGGCCAGCATCTCCTGGGCTCAGGCCTGCACTGGGGCCTGGGGTGTTTCTATTCTGCAGACTGTCTCTGGGCCATGAAAGAGACAGTGTGGAGTGGGAGCAGATTGTAGAAGGCAGGGTAAGCGGCTTGTTGACGTCGAGAGAAAGAACAGGCCCTTCTTGCTCGTTTGTTTCACGCCCAGCCCTGCCATTCCCATTCTGTGACCTGGAGCCCAGTCCCCAAACTGAGCTGCAGAGAACCTGCCCCATAAGCTGCCATCCCCACCCTCACTTAATTCTCTAACCCTACTAGATCTGGTGTGGAGGGGCAGGGGGTAGGAGCAGAACCTGGGAGTGAGGGCAGAGGGGTGGGAATAAGGCCTGGAACTTCCTGGGATCTTCAGAGGCCCACTCTGTTGTCTCATCATCTGAATTTTCCTAAGCAATAAGTTGTCTCTATTCCTGATCCCATATTGCTCTTCCTGCACACCTACAGCAGCCCCAAGGTCTGGAGAAGGCTCTGGTGGAGGCTGGTTTGCTAAATCCTTGTCAAGTGTGTTCATTGATTAGTCTGAGAATATCTTATCTCTCACCCAGATGGTTCTGTGTGAAACCCACGCAGATCCTGCTCTCTCTCTCTCCCTCTCTCTCTCTCTCTCCCCCTTTCTTCTCCCTTTTCCTCTCCCTCTCTCTCTCTCCCCCCTTTCTCTCTCTCTCTCTC